TCACCCTTCTCGATTATTTCTAATGAGGCTACCATAAATCAAAAGTCTACATCAACAGACCACAAAATTTAGAAGACTTGAGAAATCAAATTCGTGAAGAATGTAGCTGTGTCAGTGTGGAAGTCATTCAAAACGTTGTCAGAGAATTTTCGGATAGGCTTGCTTACTGCCAAGAAACCAACGGGTGGCAATTCGAGCATTTAATAGGTTAAAAGGTCTAATTTTTAAAAAATACAAAATATTAAATCACAAACTTTGAAATTTAATATTACCCAAAACTATCAGCCCAACAGGTATACATGTGCATATTGCTAAAATAAGAACTTCATACTCTATTTGAATCTGCAAAAAAAGTTGGGGGTGCAATTCAAAAAAATGGCCGATGACATCATAGCTTCTACAAAAATGGCGCCAAATATAAAAATGTTACATCAAAATGTGCGTAATTAAAAAACAAAATCGACGTGTTCAAGGATATTTTTTGAAAAATTACAGGAAATTTTTAAACTAATTTGTTCCATACTTTTGCCAGTCACTGTATACAAGTACTTTGCATATACATGATATGTATATGCAAAGTATAAAATAACAAAAAGTAAATTTTGTTATAAATGTAATAGTGGACTTATTATAAAAAAATATTTATAATTTAAGAGCACTTCTCTAATAATAATTATATACCTATATTGTTCATATATTTTATTTCCACCTTCTTAGTAAATGACATTTATTTTCACCTTCTTAGTAAATAACATTTTATAGGTTAATTTTGTTGTTTTTGTATCCAAGTAAACGATACATTATGGGAACAGACCTGTAATATTTTACAGGCCTGCATATAAGACCTGTAAAGTTTTACAGGCTTGTAGAAAAGCAGTTCATGTCACTTTTGACAAATTAATTAAAATTTTAAATTTAAAAATCGTTATCTAAATGTGAAAATAAAAGTTTGTACGTGTCACGCTTTGCAATTAATCTTTACTAGGCTTTACTAGGCTCACTGGACTCAACTTCCAGCTCGCCCGTAAAGATTCATTTACAAAGCTTGACACGTAAATAACTATTACAGGATTGCTACTATCAGTGGTAAAAAATTACACGGTTTTTGAAAATATGTGCAGTTAAAGGATTTCTCACAATATTTTTCTAATTTTGAGATAGATATATGTCATTCAAAGTTTTTAATTTTGGATTTGCCTAATATAATTTTAAATTATTTTTTGTTTTGCAATTTTTATGGCATAGTTAAATAAGGGGTTGTCCATAAAGTATGTCACACATTTTTTAGGAATTTTAAACACCATGTCACACTTTGTCTCAAAAGGTAAACACCCTCGAGGGCCAGATCTCCTTCTAAACGTGTGACGTAATTTATAGACGACCCCTAACACATTGAACATTTAAATTGTGTTATGGATATGTTTGGACCATTCCCCTGCTGATGGCAAAGATATTCTAAAAAACTCTACAGATTCTACAGTGTAGAACATAAAATATGTGCCAATTTTTTTATACCACCCAGATAGGGGTGTCAGTCCCGGGATCCCAAAATACATTTTTGTACTTAAAACATCAATGGAGATGGCCGGTAAAACTAACATAAAACTTTAATGAATTATTTACCGTTTTTGTTCGGATATAACTTTTCAGAAAAATAACATTTTTTAAAGAAAGTTACAGTTAAAGTACCTAACCCATCAAAACAATTTTTACAATAACATTTTTGAATTGTTTACATTGTTTTGATGGGATTTTTGCTTGGATATATCCATGTGCCTAATACAGAGTGTCCCATAATTAGGGTGCAATACTTTAAAAGCAGATTCCACATACAAAAATAGAAAAAAAAAATTCTATAAAAATAGGTCGAGAAATGCTTCCTAAGAGAGCTACAGCCCCCAAAAGAGGAGACCCTGATGAAGTTTTTTATTTAATATCTCCAAAACCGTTCAAGATAGAATAATAAAATTTTAAGAGTTAATCAAACTCCCTGTGATATTGCAGCAGAGCTACAGCCCCCAAAAGAGGAGACCCTAATGATGTTTTTTATTTAATATCTCCGAAACCGTTCAAGATAGAAAAATAAAATTTTAAGAATTAATCAAACTCCCTGTGATATTGCATAAAATGTCCCCAGTCCTAAACATGGCAGCCATGTTCAATGGCCCAAGCTGAATCTTTTTCTCTAGTTTCTATTTTCTTTAGTTGTGATTTCATTATGAATTTTTATGGCATGTAACGTAATTTTTAAATCGATTTTAAGCGATAATGATAAATATTATCAAAGTTCAACAAGACCTTTTTTGTGTGTAAACCTTTAAAATAAATAATTCTTACATCAAATCCTGGGAAAAGACACACAGAAAAAAGTTTCAGTAGTTTTACCCTTAATCCCTATATATCTGACCCACCCCTCATGGAAAATTTAAAATTGTTATTTCTTCATCTTATTGGCCATAAAAAGATTAATCAATTTCCAAAATTTCACGTTTCTATTTTTAACGCTATACCTAGGAGATATTAAATAAAAACCAACTTCAGTGGCTCCTCTTTTCGGGGGATGTAGGCTACAGCCTGTAGAACCCTTAGGACGCATTTCTCGACCTATGTTTATAGGATTGTTAATTCTTATTTTTGTATGTAAGTATTGCATGTTAATTATGGGACAGAGTTAGTGATGTAGATAGGGTAAATACCCAGTGGGTAGGTAAATAAAATTTGGGTAAATACCTGGGTAAATACCCAAATTTTATTTACCTACCCAAAACTGGGTATTTTTGATAAATGCGTTATTATTTATACTTTAAATAATATTAAACTTCCCTATTAAACCATATAAACATAAACGTACTAGAATTGTCTCTGAACGCACTTAATCGTGGAAAACCGCTTAATTGTTTAAATGCACACATAGACCCTGCAGGGTCGATAATTTTTGAAACCAAAAAAAATAACAGTAGGATGAAACCCATTGGAAAAGGAGAATATAATAAAAATGAAAGGAAAAATAAATTACGGGCGATCTGACTTCGGGAAGTGGGAGGGGGGTAAAAAATGGTTTATCTCGATTTCCGGCAAAACTACAAGTCCTATGGAAAAAAGTTAAATGGCAAAGTTGTAGGTAATAAAAGGATCTACAACTTTTGTAATTACAATTTTTTTACATAATCTCAAAATTTATGTGAAAAATTCAAAAAACCAAGTTTTAAATAATATTATCTAAGATCTAAGGTAGGTACTACTACAGTATACTTCACTATATTGAATAAAACTAATTATTGATTTCAAGCTATTTTTATGCAAGATTTAAATCGAAATACCCCTATAAATACCCTATTTGGGTAAATACCCGGGTAAATACCCTATTTGGGTAAATACCCAGGTAAATACCTGGGTATTTTACATCACTAGACAGAGTGTAAACTATAGTCTACAATTAATTATTAATACCTAAAAATTAACATAAAACACCTTTAACACAGATTAAAGGTTAAAATTTACGTAAATAAAAATTACATCAGTGACAAAAATAATTGCATTCAAAGTTTATTTTTTCTAAATTTAGAAAGTGTATGTACAATTTTTTTGGCTTGTATATCTAAAATTATTTAGTTCATAATATGTAAACAACAACATTAAATTACTGACCTATTATTTATATTTAAACAGATTTTGCTTATTAAGCTGCTCTCAATAAAATGTGTAATTTTACTTCTACTTCCCCTTATTACAAGACATGCTGATAAGAAATGGCGCGTTCTTATTTAAGGAATTGTATTGTTTTTACATTTGTAAGATTTTCTTAAAAGGAAATTAGTTCATATAACCCCCAACATATCACATACTACATAAATTAAAATACACAAGGATTAATATAATTATATCATTATATCATTATATCAGCTTTAAAAGCTGGTTTAATTTAATTCAAGGAAACGTTAGTCATGGTTATTAAAACTTACCATACAAAACATTTATTTTAATCATACCCTTTTCATGGCATTATTTCATCTACATAAGGTTTGTCGAAAATTTATAAAATACGAAAAAAAACCTCGCCAAAGAAAACCTTACTTACTTTTTGACATTTCATATTTTCATGTCCAAAATCAAACCAAAATCCACGCGTTTAAAACTGAAACCAATAGAATTTAGCACTTTACCACTTTTAAAATGTTATTTCACTGAAATTAAACTAGGTTTTTGATGCAATATCAAATAATTTGTTGCATATTCAACTTATTGACAAAAGACCTTGCACAACGTTCATTTGCAACGACTGGCAGATGTCAAAAGAGAATTTTTGGATTTTATGTTGGTGAACCTGATTTTTCAAATAATTAAGAACTTAATAGATTTTTATAATTTTATTATTTTCCAGCCAATTATAAGTACAAATTTAATGTGATTTAAAACTGTATAAAATATTGTAAAAATTACTGTATGATGTGCCACCATCTATGGATAATATGTGGTAATAATATAATTTTTAAATCGTTGACTCAACGGCGTTAAGAAAGAGTCTCTCTCAATCATTGTCAATACAAACATTTTTCTTAAAAACTTTTTAGTTTAAATAATAAAGTTATTAAACCTAAAACATATGGATTAATAAGTAAATTATGGAATTAAATATATTTTTATTTACGAAACGCAACCCAGATTACAAACTCATTGTTGCCAACCTTTTAACACAGTTTTACTGGAAACTATTTCTTTACAGAAAAAAGTTACAATGCGATGGTTTTTATTAATTATATTAAGGATTTTTATTATAAAAAACTATAAGTCTAAAATTGCTAATATTTTTGATAAATTTTTATTGAATAATACAATAATTATCCTCTAATGGTATTTTTAATTTTTTTTTAACTATGCATATAAAATGGACTTAAAATTCCTTTCTTAAATAATTTCTTAAATTTAAGATGGAAAACTTAATTTTCCCAGACCGCAGCAGGGAAAATTCTTTTTCTTAGTTGGTCAAACAAAAAGAAAGTCATATATTGATTAAAATTAAAAGGTAGTTTATTTTTACGTTTTCCCATGGTCTTCCGTCGTAACTTTGATGCGGTTCTACGGGTTTTCACTTTATAACGAGTGTGTGTTCGTTAAAAATGTCTTTGGTGGTCGATGATCAACAATTTTGCCTTAGATGGAACAATTTTCAAGCGAATATAACGTCTCAGTTCGAAACATTGCGAGATGATGAAGATTTTACCGACGTGACGATCGCCTGCGAAGGTCAAAGGCTTCAAGCCCACAAAGTGGTCTTATCAGCTTGCAGTCCTTTTTTTAAAGAGCTGTTTAAAGTAAGTTGATTCGTTATTTTTTGTGGGAGCTATTTTAATTCCACAGCTTTGTTTTTATTTTATTGTTGGCTGTATTGATTCGTTCTGATCGAAGAACATACATTATGTTATGCATTATTAGGCAACCCAAATTACTAACTTTCATATATCTGTAATAACGAATAAAAAACTATTTATACAATTATTAAAACAAATATTATTAATTAATTAAAATATTTGCACCGAGCGACATCTATAGATCTATATAGGCATCTATACATTCCATAAATATAGTAGGTAACCAAAACGTCACTGTCAGTTTATTATTTCACAAAAGGGGCACTTTATTTTAACGATTGTATGACATTTGACAACTGTCAACTAACTTAAAGCTAAATTCAGCTCATGACTAAAAAGCTCGAAAGCCACTGCCGCTAAATTAAGACTTAAGTCAGCCCGCGATCGCGACTAAAACGCTATAAAGACTTTATAATAAAGTCACAGCTTGTCAAAGTGTACGGTAATGGACCCGATTGGTCTAAATTATTTTTATCTACTCCTACATTGACGAGCTGTGACTTTATGGCGTTTTAGTCACGGGCTGAAGTTAGTAATAGTGGCTTTTGGGCATTTTAGTCACGGGCTGAAGTAATTAGCTTAAGCTTTCTTCTTCTTCTTCTTCAAGTTGGGCGGACTTACGGCTCAACCACCGCCCTTTTGGTCGTGGACAAAAATCCTTATTAACCAGCTACTAGTATTAACGTCCAATGATTTCAGAAGAACCCATGCCCTGTGCACTCGCCTTAAACAAACAAAATCCACATTTTTGTCTAGTCGACTTTGGTTTTAGTTTACACTAGAGGCACATGTGGCACGAGCGGCGGTTAATCTTGACGGTTGCTTGGTAACGAAATCAACAAACTTCAGTTTGATAAATTTTGTAAAGTTTTGTAAATTCATATTGTGTTTATTTGGTTTGTTCTGTACGCTTAAAAACTTTTAAAATTGCGATTTATCGTTATCTGTGTACTCTATTTTTTATATATTGCTACACTATTTGAACATTAACATGGTGTTGTGCTGTGCTGTGGGCTGCTCTAACAGTCAAGTTATGATGCATACTTTTCGCAATGATGACAAGGTTGTATTGTATTATTCAGGGGCGGCTAGTGCATAAGGGCTGCAGAGCTGCAGAACTCCCAAAATTGTCTTATTACTTGACTATTTTTTTAATTATTTAATATTTAAGTGCGACAGTGTATACTTAAATATTTCAAACGCACGGCTGCATAAACAGTTTTTATTATAAACATTCGCCGTGTCGCCACTACAGTCATCCAAACGACCGGTAAAGATCTCTAACGCTTAACGCTTACAACACAACAAAGCTGGGCCACTTTCGAGTTCTGGTTCCCATTTCAATACCGTAATTTTGCTCCGCGCCGCTCTTGGTCCTGGGTTGAGATAGCGAAATTTTAGCCAAATCGGAGCTGCACCAACATACAGTTCTTACTTCCCGGTCGTTTGTTTTTCGCTTCGCGTAGACGTTTGTTATTTTAACTAGAAGACTGTTAATTCAGTGTATTTTTGTGTTTTGTATTTGTTGTTGTATTCTTTTGTAAGAATGAATGTGGTGTATGATTTAATTAATGTTAAAAAATTCTCCCTCTATACGTATGAAGAAAAATTAAAACTAAAAGAAGATGGACGGCCGTTGCCCGATATTTTAATAGAAAAGTGTGGTTCAAGCCGGGGAAAATCGTATAAAAGGATTTTTACAAGAGACATTTATGCCAGAAACGACTGGATATGCGGATGCAATAAAAATAATTCCCTTTTTTGTTTTCCGTGCCTTTTGTTTGGTGGAGAAAAAACTTGGACCATAGTTGGTGTAACCGACTTGGTGCACCTAAGCGAAAAAATTAAACGTCATGAAATATCGAAAAACCACTTAAACAATGTTATGAACCTGGGTTTGATGGGTAATGTTAATATTCGTGAAAAGCTGGACAGTGCATATTGGACGAATATTCGATTGTTTAACGAAAACGTTCTAAAAAACAGGTATGTGTTATCCAAAATCATTGATTGCATAAAATTTTGTGGAATGTTCGAACTTGCGCTTAGGGGTCACGATGAAACTTCGACATCCGAAAACCCAGGAATTTTTCGTAGTCTTATAAATTTTACCGCTGAACTTGATAAAACAGTGGGGGAACATTTGAGAGATTCCACCGTGTTTAAAGGTATATCGAAAGAAATTCAAAATGACATTTTGGATTGCATGTTGCAGGTTTGTCAGGAAAAAATTTTAGAGGAGATTCGAACTGTTTCATATATTTCTATTATGGCAGACGAAACAACGGACGTTTCAGCCAAATCTCAAATGGTTGTAATTTTTAGATACATTCAAAATGGAGAACCCGTAGAGCGGTTTTGGACTTATTTGGAGCCAAAAAATTTGAATGCACAGAGTTTGACTGCTGATATTCTTAGTGTCTTAGACCCTATTTTAGAAAATTCTAAAGATAAGTTAATCGCCCAAAGTTACGACGGAGCTGCTGTAATGAGCGGCAGAAATACTGGTGTTCAGGCACAAGTCAAAGAAAAATACAAGTTCGCTCATTTTGTTCACTGCTATGCGCATCAGCTAAATTTAATTATGTCTAAGGCAGCATCTGGAAGTTCCCAAGTTCGACTCTTTTTTGGAAATCTTCAAGAAATACCTTCATTTTTTAAAAATTCTCCGCAACGCGTAGCTGTTCTAAGTAGAATTGTTGGAATAAGAATTCCACATGGTGCACCAACACGTTGGAATTTTAATATTAGAACGGTTAACGTTATTTTTGAACACCGAGAGTCTATACTTGAATGCATGGAAGACATAGAAAATTCATTTAGCAACCAAACTGTTTGTAGTGCAGCTTCTTCAATAAGAAGGATGCTGCAAGATCCAAAGTTTATTTTTTGGCTAACATTTTTTCACCGTATCATGCCACATGCCGATATTTTGTTTAATGAGTTACAAAAAAGAAAAATTGATCCTGTAGAAATTAACCAAAAAATACAAGTTTTTGAGCAGAGCATTATGACAGTAAGAAATTCAATAGAAGAAATTATTAACGAAGCCAATAACTTAATATTTTCGGTTGATTTTGAAGCAATGCCTTCTAAAAGAAAAAGAACCAATGACAGTCAGTTTGATCACCGTACTGCTGCGTTAGAAGTTTGTGATATAATTATTAACTGCGCTAAAGATAGATTTGATTACAAAAATCATTTGTTGGCAGCCTCATTGTTTTATTCCGACCAGTTTGCTAACTACGTTAATTGTTTTCCTGATGAAAAATTAAAAGCAACTTGCGAGTCGTACCCTAACCTTGATCAGGAACGTTTAAAAACAGAACTGTCAGTGATATACTCCAGATCAGACTGCAGGAACCTGAAGGGGGCAATACCTTTTTTAAAATTACTCATTGAAAATAATTTAACAAATTCACTTCAAGAAACTAAAAAGCTCTTGGAAATACTGATAACCATTCCCATGTCGACAGCAGAAGCCGAACGTTCCTTCTCTACTTTAAATCGCATCAAGACTTTTTTACGCAATTCTATGGTGGAAGAACGTCTGGTGGCTCTATCAATGATTTCGATGGAAAAAAAAATTATCACCGAAACTATAAACTTTAACGACAAAGTTATAGACATATTTGCAGCGAAAAAAAATCGAAGAATTAACTTAATCTTCAAAAAGTGACTATTTTATGTTAAAATTAAAATGAAAAAAGTTCAATACAAATAAATCTAAGTAAACAAACTCATACGAGTTCCACCCAATAGTGTACTAGTACGAGTTCTAAGCTGTCAGGAAAATACAAGGCAAAATATTGGTAAGTTCATATGTTAAGGTAGCCCCCTGATTTTCTTTGCCTGGTGAGCCCCTGCTAACCCTTTCAAAATAAACGAACTTTATCACACATGCACTCACATTTTAGAACCAAAAACCATGTTTTTTAATTATTTATTTTGAAGAAAACTGTAGGAACCATTTAATTAAATGCAGAACTCACAAATTTTACTGCCACGAGCCGCCACTGGTATTATTCAATTATAACTATTTAAAATAGTCTATTTTATTAAAACAATGAAGTAGGTACTTACACAAATGTGGTACATAATATTATTACTTTATACTGATTTGTGTTCTTTAATAAGATAAAATTCACTTGAATACAGTATTATATTGTTAATTGGTTTAGTTTAGTAAATACCTTGAATAATTTAAAATATAATACATTTATTTTTGCTTTTCAAATAAACAATTTAAATAAACTTTCAGGCCTTTTATTTTTTACTATTTTGACTGTCAAAATTTGACAGGATAACCTAAATTAAAACCATAACCTAAAACCAATAAATGTCAGGCGGGTACAACTAGCGGCATAGCGGGCCGAGTGTGCGTAACAAGGAGCGTCAAATATGTGACAGTGGCGTATCTATATGATTTATTATCTATGGAAGAACCAAAAACCATTGGACAACCGTTGTCTAACAAACACGTGGACACAAATAGGTTATGTAACCTTGAAATTTTAACTGTTCATATAAATTCCTCTATTCCTTTAAAAAAGGACAAAACGAGGAATATTATCTAGGACTGGAATCCGGTTTTGTCCTCCCTGAGTCAAAGTCAACTATTTTTCACACTTTTTCATGGAGCAATGCAGGAGCGATACGCTTCTCACCGAGGACAAAATCGAACTCCTAGCTTAAGCTTTATTATAAATTAGAGAAAAGTGAGGTTAATGACGTTGACATTTGACAGATGTCAAATGTTTAACAAATAAAATTGGATTTAAATTTTTCTTTGTTTTATAAACTTATCTAGACTTAATAAAACTGGTAACTAAAATGGCGTTTATAAAACTTGATACATAATATACTATTACAGCCTAGGGACGATAATCAATTACTTTAGTAGTGAGTGTTGGCAATAGTTTAAATTATAAAACGCTTGACGACAAAATAAAGTATGTTTTATGAGCTAAGTGAAATGAATGAATGATGAATGAATGATAATTTAATGATAAATAAATTATTAATAAATAATAAATGAATGAATAAGAAATGAATGATAAATAAATGAATGAATGAGAAATAAATAATGAATTAAATTCATTCAATGAATAATAAATTAACGATAAATGCATGATAAATAAACGATGATTGAATGATAAAAGGATGATGAATGAATGATGAATGAACGATGAATGAATGATGAATGAATGATGAATGATGAATGAATGATGAATGAATGATGAATGAATTATGAATGAATGATGAATGAATGATGAATGAATGATGAATGAATGATGAATGAATGATGAATGAATGATGAATGAATGATGAATGAATGATGAATGAATGATGAATGAATGATGAATGAATAAATGATGAATGAATGATGAATGAATGATTAATAAATGATGAATAAATGATGAATAAATGATGAATAGATGACGAATAAATGATGAAAGAATGATGAATGAATGATAAAAGGATGATGAATGAATAATAAAAGGATGATGCAAGAATGATGAATGAATTATAAAAAGATGATGAATGAATGATAAATGAATGATGAATGAATGAATGATGAATGAATGATGAATGAATGATGAATGAATGATGAATGAATGATGAATGAATGATGAATGAATGATGAATGAATGATGAATGAATGATGAATGAATGATGAATGAATGATGAATGAATGATGAATGAATGATGAATGAATGATGAATGAATGATGAATGAATGATGAATGAATGATGAATGAATGATGAATGAATGATGAATGAATGATGAATGAATGATGAATGAATGATGAATGAATGATGATGAATGAATGATGATTGAATGATGAATGAATGATGAATGAATGATGAATGAATGATGAATGAATGATGAATGAATGATGAATGAATGATAAATAAATGATGAATGAATGAGAAATGAATGATGATTGAATGATGAATGAATGAATGATAAATGAATGATGATTGAATGATGAATGAATGAATGATAAATGATGATTAATGGATGATAAATGAATGATGAAAGAATGAATGATGAATGAATAATAATTTTAATTAATTATTTTTACACTTATACTTTTTTAGACGAATCCATGTTCTCACCCAATAATATTTATGAGAGATGTCGAAGCCCACCATATAGTGGCTTTGATGGAGTTTATGTATGCAGGCGAGGTAAACGTTGCTCAAGCACACCTAAGTGCATTTTTAAAAACGGCGGAATCCCTTAAAATCAGAGGCCTAACTGATACAGCCCCAAAGACCGTCGATCCAAAGGAAGATACGCTCTACTTAAATCCGCAATCAACGAAAAACGCTGCAGGGAATATTTTAAAAAATAGACTTAATAAATCTCAGATTAACTCTTCTAGTACTGTTACTTCTAGTCAAGATATTGCAGCAAAAGGTAAATTTACAATATTTTATACGGAGGGTTTTAATTATATTTGTATTATTTTAGAAACACATTCTAGTCCACCACCAAAAAGGCAATGTAAATCGGATACTGAGTTGCCAAGACTAAAGCAAATTAAAGAGGAAACCATATCAGTAAATCCTTTTGCATTGCAAAACGATATAAAGCAACTCGATCCAATACAACCCAAAGAAGAACTGCCAGACTACCTTAGTGATGAAGACAGAGATGATAACATGGATAATTTAGATAATTTGCCCAATTTTTATGTCAGAGACGTTACTGAATTACCAGGTGATACTAGTAAGTTAAGATTAAAATATTATATAAATTTATTATTGTTTCCTTTTAGGAGGAATGGAAATTATTCCAAAAAGTGCTTACACTGTTAAAGATTTTAGTCACGATGGATCATTGCAAGGTAATTTAATTTAATTCAATTTAATTTTGACGACTTTGATTCATATGCAAAAACATGGGAAAATGAATTAACTTTAACTATTGTATAATGTTTAATTTTTGCCCGCACGCATTTAACATTTCACTTAAATTTTCGATGCCTGTACACTGTACACTAATTCTGATATATTGTTGCAGGCACGGACAGTAGAAAACTTCATTCGCTGGATCCGCGGCCTTGCGAAGAGTGCGGAAGAGTGTACAGCAATCTTTCGAATTTAAGGCAACACATGAAATTAATTCATTTTCCCACTTATGTGCAGTGTCACTTGTGCAGTAAGACATTCAAAACCGATTTGTACCTCAGACGGCACATTATTAGTTCACACGACGGTCTAAATAAGGGAAATCTTAAAAGCGGCCTCGACTCGATAGGATGTGTCAACAGCAATAAGAATGTTGATGTTAAATATCAATTACGTACTAAAATTACCTAAATTTTAAAATAAATGATACAATCTTATTGAGTATTATTTATTATGATCTGGCTGTTTCTAAATAATTAGAGGAAGTTAGGTACTTGAAATAGATAGGATGTGTCAACAGCAATAAGAATGTTGATGTTAAATATCAATTACGTACTAAAATTACCTAAATTTTAAAATAAATGATACAATCTTATTGAGTATTATTTATTATGATCTGGCTGTTTCTAAATAATTAGAGGAAGTTAGGTACTTGAAATTTTCGACTTTATAAATTAGAATTAGAATCAATAGAATTTGGTTTCTATCGGAAGTGTTTACCCAATCACAGCACACTACATTTCGACAGGGAGAGCAGTCGAATATTGTTTGAGTTCTGCAAATGAAAAAATATAGGCCTATTTAATTTTTATGGACATAAATATGATTCTATTCAAGATTTGACCTTTTATATTCGCAGCTTATGTGTCCGAATACTTTGCTGCTCTTATACTTTGTGGATGTTTTTACTTTCATAGTCATTGAATATTTTGTGATGAATAGGAATTCGATATGGGTCAAAGTTTATGTATGTTCGGATTTCTACACCTGAGTAAAATAAAATGGGTAAACATATCATCTGATAACATCTGCTTTTGTACGCATCGCTATATCCGCGGTTGTGCTTAATGTCCCCGCAATCATCTGTTTTTAACCGTCCCTACTGCGTTTGGTTTATATCTGCATTTACCCGGGATCATCTTCAAACTTCTGCTTGCTTCTGGTTTTATCTGCGATTACCTGCAGTTTTTTTATCTATTTTCGTCTGGTTACATCCGTTTTTATCTGTGGTTGCCTGCATTTCGTTTGTCTAGTTTTGTCTGGTTTTATCCGCAAACATCTGCTTTTATCCGCGCTTACCTGTATTACGTTAATCTGTTTTCATCCGGTTTCATCTGAAAACATCTGCTTTTACCTGCAAACGTCTGCCTTGTCCAATTCTACCCGTAAATATCTGCTTTTATCGGCAAACATCTGCGTTCACCCTCGAACATCCGGTTTCACACATATGCTTTTATTCGTGAACGCCTGATTTATTTGCGAATTAAAGCAGATGTTTGCAGATTAAAGCAGACGTTTGAGGATGAAAGCAGATTAATGCGGATAAAAACAAATGTTTGCAGGTGAAATCGGATGAAGCAGACGGATTAAATCAGATATTTGCGGATGAAAGCAGCACGTAGGCACATATACGGCCCATTGTGCAAACCCCCTTTAGTTGAAGCCCTTCCTTACCTTGGGAGCCCGCAACTTTTAAGAAAAGCGCAGTCCCTCTCTGGTCGGGCATGCATTATTTTCTCTGGTTCCAGATACCTGTCTTCGGGCTGTCTCAGTCTGCTGTAGACTAGGGCGTCCCATTCGCAGACTATATGCTCGGTAGTTTCGTCTACCTCGCTGCAGTGCCTACAATTCGTCTCGTTGCTGAGTCCGGTTTGTGTAGGTGGTATTTGACTATCAAGTGTCCTGTTAGGACTCCTGTGATGGCCCTTAACTGGTTCCTGTCAAGTTTAAAAAATCTTTTTGCCTCTTTACAGTTTGTAGGACCCTTTATAAAGACCCTTGACTGTCTGAGGCCTTGTTGTTCCCGCCATTTGTTGTTAGTCCAGTTCCTGATCTTGGCGTTTACCAGACAGGAGGCGACCCCTATAGCAGGTTCCAGCCCTATAAAGGCCGTCTTACTGCCAGTTGGTCTGTTTTCTAGTTGCCTTTGATATCTCGATGACCCGGTACGCAGACAAGGGTGACCTTGTTGAGCACAATGAGTAATTCTAGGGTTTTTATGCAGTCCAGTGTAAGCCTCGAGTTGACCCTTTCTGAGTAAAGAGCTCGGAGTGCTGCTTGACTGCTCTTTGGAGATTCTTTTGAGCGCATATCAGAATGGCATAGATTTTAGTCTTGTATACCGTTGAGTATCGGCCCAGTGCAAGGCTTATTCTTGCCCCAGGTCGCTTCCCGTATATACCAGCTCCTGCACCTTTATTCATTAAAGACCCGTCCATGTACCAGATGAGCCCCTTCGGTTTAAGGAAGCCTGGGTGAGGCTCGCTCCAGTCGTTTCTTGAAGCGAAAACGACTTTATATCTTCTAAGGGGGTTGACGTCTTTGGCATTGCATCCCTTCTTGTTAAAAGGGGGTCCCGGTTGATAATATCAGTCCAGGCCATTGCATGGCCTGAGTTCTCCCCCCCGTGCCTCCACAAAAAATGTAGAGGCGTTAGTCCCAATATAGCCTCCACTGCCTGTGTTGGAGTGGTTCTAAAAGCCCCAGATATGCTCATGCAGGCAAGTCCTTGGAACTTGTTCAGCTTTTTCTTATAGGTGGGTTTGCTTAGCGCATTCCACCATGCTAGACTGCCGTATGCGACCATTGGCCTTATAACTGTTGTGAAGAGCCAGTGTACTATATGAGGTTGTAAGCCACAGGTGCGTCCAAAGGTCCTCCTGCATGTCCATAGGCTAGCAGTGGCCCTCTGAACCTAGAATCAATGATGAACCCCAGATATTTAACTGATTTGGATATCGTCAGTCTTGTTCCGAAGAGCGTAAACCCTTCTAGGTTCACGTTCCTACGGTTCGTGAATGGTATCACTTCGGTCTTCTCCGGATTGACGGAGAGTCCGTGATTGTTGCACCAACTTTCGACCTTATTAAGAGCTCTTTGCATGATCTCTTTAATATCGTTTGGTACCCTTCCAGCTACGACAATGACGAGGTCGTCTGCGTAGCCTTGAGTGTATATACCTTTCTTGTTTAGGATGCGAAGTAGCGCACCCAGCACTAGGCACCACAGCAAGGGCGATAGTACACCTCCCTGCGGGCAGCCTCTGGCTACGGTTGAGCTGATCTATGCCAAAACCCTCTGCAGCTGTCCCCTGCTTAAAATACCCCATAGAGACCTATACAAAATAATCTATCGGGCGCTACCGGAGTCAATATGTGCATTTGTCCATGGTTTTTTCCGGATACGGCCCGATAGAAAATGTATAGGAAATTACCTATAGGCACACCATAACTTTTACATTTTCCCTATTGAGACCGATAGCAAATACTCAATGAAGGATATATAGGGATATCCCTATAGAGCAACCATAAAACATTTGACAAAATTTTATTAAAACCTATGGGGTCCTATAGGGGAAAAACTAATTTCTACATTTATGTGTATTTTCCCCATTGAAACCGATAGCAAATTAATTAAGGGTGGATATCCCTATAGAACAACCATAAATCTCAACTATTGGTCCTATACAAACCGATACACCCTATAGAAACACCATACATCCCGATACAAATATCTATCGGTTTGAACAGGGTCTCTATGGGATATTTTAAGCAGGGTCACAAGGTTGTTAAGAGCGGTCTACGTCGACATTGCTGTTCTGTAGGCGTGTTGATTAGGATACAGACGTTTCCCTAATAAAAATGTCCACTAGTTTCTCCATAGTTTTTAAAAGAAACGACGATAGACTAATGGGTCTATAGTCCTTTGCCGTCTCGAAGTTATAACGTCCAGGCTTGAGGATGAACACCACCGAACCTTTCGCCAGGATTGTGGCACGTATCTCCGTGCAAGGCTGGTTCTAAAGGGGCGTATTAATTGCGGGGTCAGTGGTTCTAGCCCCTTTTGTAAGAGTGCCACAAAGATTTATGTTCCCCGCTTTTAAAAGATCAAAATGAGTGGATAGCTCACTTTATGGAGTTTTCTGTTAAGCCAGCTGGTGGAGCTTGCCTTGGCGGTTCGACAGTTTGCAGAATTTCAGGAAAGCCTTAATGACCCCATATCTCGTCCTGGATCCTTTGAGAGAATCTTTTAAAGCTTGGCTGCTGCTGGAAGCTCCCAGATTCCCTCTTGGACCTTTTTATGAGATCTTTGTACCTGCGCTGAGACTGCTTGTGGCTGTCCCAATCCTCAGGTGATTTAGACCGCATGTGCCTGTTAAAGAGCCTGCGGGTTTCTTTGCGAGCCTTGCCGAGGTAAGAATTCCATCAAGGGGTTTTCTTTTTTCCTCGGTAGACCCGAAGCTGGTAGTTTCGTTCGTACGATGAGATGATTGCATCGCGAACGAATTCGGCTGTTTCCTCTACTTGCCGAGATCTGGGGCACGTCATGGAAGAGTCCTCTAGCTTATTCTTCAGCATCTCAACATACTGGTCCCAGTTTGTGTTCCGGGGGTTCCTGAACCTACTGAGCCCAACCTCGTGAGTTAAATCTAAGCTAAAGAGAATGTGTCTGTGAACCGACAGGGACGGCTTGTCAGATACCTTCCAGTTTATTGTCATCGGGGCCATGGAGAGGGAGCCCAATGACCCATTGTCTTCGTGACGTGACAAAGGTCGTCAAAGTGCGGTTTAGGATTTTAAGATCCTTAGTATGTAGATAATCTAAAAGGCCAAGCCCTCTTTGATTCGTGACGGTGCTTCCCCAAACCCTATGGTGTACGTTGGCATCGCACCCGATAAACAGCGGAAGGCCCAGTGTGCTGCATTATTCCACTTTATCTATGAGCTCCTGTGCTGGAGGATCTCCCATTGAGTCATAGAGCAGATAGGCCGAGCATACCACTAAGGATATGCTGGTCTGTCCTTAAGGCTTAGCTTCACCGCTACTAGGTCCCAAAAACAAAAATTACCTATTAGTGAGAACTCGATCCGTCTGTCGACGTAGATACAAGCCCTTGGATTTAGTTGCAACTAAATCCAAGGGCTTGTATCTACGACAAACATTTTCACCGTTTGTGATCTTTAAATGTCCGATTATTGTCCACTAAGACGCAAATAAAGTGTCGGACATCAGTCAATACAAGTCCGACGCAAGTGTCGACGAAAGTCTGAATTGCCTTGGCACATGTGTCTTTGTACCAATAGTGGACGCAAAAGCGCGTCGCATGCCGTTCGATAATTCAATATACATTCATATGTACAGGAGTGTAGGGCTCAGTCTGTATAAAAGTGTATGTCACTTTGTGAACATTTTGCGGTCCCTCGTGTGCGTCAAAATTTATTCAAATTCGATTTTTATTTTGAAAAAAACCTGAAATAATTAAAAAAAATTTATTAAATACGTACCTATAATTCTTTGGTATAAAAATATTAATAATATAAACAAAGAACATAAAATTTATAAAAACAAAATCCTCATTTTTTGTGAAGCCATCTTGCGGAAATCCTTTAATTCAAGGCATTAATGCTTTTCTTACATCTTCTTTTTTTTCGTACAAGGTTTATAATAAGAAAAATGAGTTTTATTACGCCTTTCAAATCTGCGAAGATGTTCTTCGTTTCCTCTGTTTAACATAAAATCATTTACATGTAAGTAAAAAATTAATAAATATGCTAACCGAAAACTGCTGTATACGTAGGTATATTAAAATTGGAAATATTTTAGTATTATAACCTATTTCAACTAGTTTTTTGTTAGAAACACTTCGTTCTTACTTTACTCTACGCCATACAATATAAAACATGGAATTACTGAGCGTTAAGTAAGATTAGTCCCAATTAATTAATTGTGTCCACGCCATGATATCATGTTTCGACGCTACATTGAAAACGAAATTAATGCGAAACAGCCGAAAGATACAGAAATATTTTGATACTTGATAACCGGTTATTTTTAACAGTTATAGTTATAGTTATTTAAAATTCACATACACCGTTTAATCCTCCAAAACACTTCGAGCACGTACACTCTTTCTTGACATGGGTCGCCATTATAAATATAGTAATATAGTCTCTGGCTAAGTCACCTGTGGTGATTCACTTATGGTACCCCTGGCAATAATTGCTATGCCTTGATGCTGCGGATTATTATTATTATTATTATAATTTTTATTATACCTAAGATATTTGCGATTGAAAGCAGACGTTCGCGGATAAAAGCAGATGTTTGCAAGTGAAACCGGATAAAATCAGATAATCGCAGATAAACCGGACGTAAGCAGAAATAGAAGTAAAATGGAGGCAAACGCGGATAAAAACAGAAGAAAGCACGTATTTGCATATAAAACCGGGTATATACAAAAGTATATAAAAAATTGCTCTTTAAGTTCTACCCTTACTTCCTAAGAAGTCCCAGAAGCCAACTGAATGGCTTGAATGGGGTTAGGGGTAGGAACGGACCGCGGGCTTAAAGTTTAAAGGACTAATGGATAAAACCGGAAGTTCTCGGATAATATTTATACCCGCAATTGCAGATAAAACCGGCATGGCGAGAAAATCAAATATGTCGGCTGAAAACAGATATAAATGGACATAAAACTAACTTGGATTTTTATTTGCAATCATCCGATATTAAACGTCTTTTTCAGTTGGGAATTAATTTTTGCCAATCAATTCCAGCGCTAGCCTTTATTTTTGTTCACCACCGACCCTAATAACTCGGGTAACAGAGCTCTCGCTTCTAGCACTTTCCTCAGCTTTTTTTTACTGTGCTTAATTATTTAGCTTACTACTTCCACCTAAACTAAACTGGTCCTATATTCGCCCAGCCAGAAAAGGCCAGTTAAACTCCATTCTAAAAATGAAGGGGCTCTGTAAACAGGAGACAGAAGATTGTAAGGAAGCTGCAATGTCACTACTGATACCTTCCGAAGGGAGGTTTTAAAGGCGGGATAACAAAGACACGCGTCCTTTACAGCCAACCACATCACCACGCAGCGGGCCTCTAGGCGGTCTGCGGAATGCCCAACATAGCCGACAATCCGCGGATTTCCTTTCTATTTGTACATATGCCTTCAGTCAAAAAATTGATAATAACATTTCCCTTCCAATGTAAAATAATTTAAATTGTACTTAATGTTGTTTTTTTAGGCTTTCGATTACATCGCAGAAGAATGGATTGGTTGGGTTTTGATTCTATAAATTCAGAAAGTCCATTGGATGATGAATTTTCAGGAAGAATGAAAGATGGACAAGAGGAGGATAGAAGAAATAGACTGGTGATTATAATTTTTGAACCAGCAATACATATAAAAAAAACATATAAAAACATATAAAAACTATTATTTTTGTATTTTATTTATCTGTAACTTTTGTTTGAGGATCAATTCGTTGTGGACACTATTTTAAGCGTTTTTTAGATTAAACTGGGGGATGGAATAGAAATTTGTGAAGAACAACTCAGACGAGTAAAATGGAGTGATTATAGAAAATTGACAAGAGGACTGGCTACAATTCTATTTAGGCAAGGATTTTTAGATTGATATATTTTTACCCAACCTAGGTTAAGCTTAAGAACCTAACGTATACGGATTTTCTTTTTAGTCCTGCAGAATTGGCTTCGTGTTCAGTTACTGGCCAAAGATGGAGTAGAGCAGGTTCTGGAGAAAGACCAGTTAAACCAGCTTTAGATAAAGCTAAAGTACAAGCAATCATTTGTATGTTATTTACAAAAATTGAAAAAACATATACTTAAAAAATATATATTTTAGCTTATGTAGCCACCCGCTTTCCCATGGTTGAAATAAGTAGAATAAAGCAAGTGTTGGCCTACAAATGCAAAGAAAATTCCACTGCTTTTAAAATAAAAGCTGTTAGGTGAGTTAATGAGTTTTATATTTTAATGATTTTATCATAACTGTATTTTTTTTCAGTGAACAGCAGAAGTAAATAATATGTACCTACCTACCTTTTTAAAATAAATTAGACGTGTCAAATTAACGCTACTTCTAGGCATACCAGATAATAGTAATTTAAATCTAAATTTTATAGATTACGGCGTATTTAAAGTACCTAGGTAGAAATATTATAAAAAGTAGAAAAAATAACAAAGGTATTATCTATCCTATTAAAATTTTACCTATGTTCCTATAATGTTATTTATTTATATTTTTGTCGGTTATTTATAATAAATTGTTTTAAGAATACAAATTTTTGTTTTATTTAAATATTTGTATTCATGCTAAAATCAGTGGCGTAACCCCGAGGGGGTCCTGTATTAAAAATGTAGAGGGGACTTATACGGAAAGTGTAACATTCGTAATATTTTTTAACATTTAATAGAGGGCGCAGGAACATGTAATTTGTCTTGCCTACCTACGGGGAGCAGAGTGTATAGGTAGGCAAGAAATTACATTTTTCACCATAAGGGTGGTCACAAATTTAGTAAATTAGCATTTAATTAAACAAAAACAATTCCGTCTAAAGGATGGTACAACCCTGTTGAAAATTACGGATGAATGCGGATATAAATTCTTCGTCTAAACCGGATAAAAGCAGATGGTTGCGGATATAAATTCTTCGTCGAAGCTGGATAAAATCAGATAAAAGCGGGTAAAAATACCATCTGATAACATCTGCTTTTGTTCGCATCGCTAAATCCGCGAACACCCGGTTGGTTCAGTTTTATGTCCGGTCCCCCGCAATCATCTGAAATTATCTTTTTTTAACAGTCTCCACTGCGTTTCGTTAATATGAAGTTGTCCGGGATCATCTTCAAACGACTGCTTATAAGCATCCGTTTGAAGATGATCGTGAGATGACGTAACGTCTGGTTTTATCAGCGATTACCTGCATTTTTCATCCGCGAACATCTGCAATCACCCGCGAATATCTGCATTTATCCGCAAACGTCTGCTTTCATACGGTTTCACCCGCAAACATAATATGCATATTATGCTTTTATCTGCAAACGATTGATTTCATCCGGTTAGTGCACCCCCGCAATCCTCCGTAATTATCTGCTTTTGACCGACTCTACTGCGTTTCGTTTATATCTGTATTGGCCGGGATCATCTGCAAACGTCTGCTGAAGTCTGGTTTTATCCGCGATTACCTGCATTTTTTTCGTCTATTTTTGTCGTGTTTTTTCTGCAAATGTCTGGTTTTATCCGCGAGCATCTGCTTTTTCCGCAAACGTTTGCCTAGTCTAATTTCATACGCAAACATCTGCTTTTATCCGCAAACATCTGTTTTTATCGCCAACATCTGGTTTTATCCGCGAACACCTGTTTTTATCCTCTATCATCTGCTTTCATTCTCGAACATCTGGTTTCATCCGCGAACATCTGCAATCACCCGCGAACATCTGCTTTCATCTGCAAACGTCTGATTTTATCCGGTTTCTCCCGCAAACATATGCTTTTAAATAATATTATTTAAAAGCATATGTTTGCGGTTATAAAGACAAGTTTTAATAAGTTAGTTAGTTATTTATCAACTGACTTTATGGTGGTATTTAGATATCTTATGATTGTTAAAATATAAATTATCTATATTTTTTGTTTTGACGTATCTATTAGCCATTAGTATATATTTTGACCACTATGCAGATAATTTCATTAAGATAATTTAGGATTGTAATTTTCTCGGTGATGCATCACAGAAGTACAAAAAAAAGTTTTATATACAAAAGTGGTCTTTTAGTTCCACCCTTAATTCCTAAGAAATCCCAGAAGCCAACTGAATGGCTTGAGCGGGTTAGGGGTAGGAACGGACCGAATAGTCCCCTCCGAAGGACTATTATAATAGTATATACACAATAGGACAAACACAATAGTGTATACACAATAGGAAAAACACAAATAAACAGCCTGTTGGGATTTGAACCCACGACCTCCGGCTTGTAGTCAGCAGCACTAACCACTAGTCCACCTCTAACTAATTATTGCAATTGAGGGATACCCTTTTGTCCAAGGACATCATGCATGAACATGGCGATACCAAAAATTGCTTGTGGACTTGACGGTTTAGACTGGAAAATAATTAGTATGCTGGAATTTATATTTAGATTTCTTCTTCTTCTTCTTAATACTGAACACAATTCTGTGATCAGAGGAAAGACCTTTAGCTTAATTTAAAAGCTATTTGGCCAGCACATTATATTATTAGAATTTTCTTTATTATGATCAAGGGTCTTATTTAAAAAAATCTGAGATTAACTCATCCCTTGAATCATTTATATATTGTTAATTATTTATCAAATTTTATAGAACCATGTCATATTTTTGCTTCACTATGTACACATGGCTTCATACACATAATTTTCCAATTATCTTTAATCTTCAATCATCCGATCCATCTCTTAATTATTTCCATATATTTTTGCAAATTTAAACCAGTTTGTTTTTACACTGGGAGTCCGATTTTGCCTCTCCTGAGTCGAGAAGTCACTTATTTTTCATATACTCTTTCATAGAGCAACCGACGACACGAGACCCAAAACCGAACTGATATTTAGATTTAGTGGCATCCCTGCTTAAAATACTCCATAGAGACCTATACAAAATAATCTATCGGGCGCTACCGGATTCAATATGTGCATTTGTCCATGTTTTTTTCCGGATACGGCCCGATAGAAAATGTATAGGAAATTACCTATAGGCACACCATATTTTTTACATTGTCCCTATTGAAACCGATAGCAAATAAATCAAGGGTGGATATCCCTATAGAAAAACCATAAATCTTAACTATGGGTCCTATACAAACCGATACACCCTATAGAAACACCATACATCCCGATACAAATATCTATCGGTTTGAACAGGGTCTCTGTGGGGTATTTTAAGCAGGGATACACATTCTTGTCTGTTGTCACAACCCTAGAATAACAATTGGAAAGAAGGCCGTATTGCTATGGAGCTGAGGACCATGTCACACTTCGGACATTTCTGGACGAAAATGTTTTAAGACGGGGGCAATATACCGCTCTTAATTTCGGAATGTCCTTGGTGACTCATCGGCGATGAGTCATCGCTTGTTTACGGTTTACGGACGAACGAGAGCGGTGTGGAATTTACTGGAAGGTGCTTGCGTGAAGCAGGTCACGTACGCTCTGGATATATAAGGCACAGCGGAGCATCGAGCAGTCAGTCAAGCTTTGGTACTCGCGACGAAATAAAATATTTATATATACGTATATATAAATATTTTAGCAATATTGCTTGGACGCACAAGTGTCTCGAGTGGAATATGTGATTGATATTACCTTTAACTTTTTAGGTACCTACCTATGTATTATTATTTAATAAATTGAGTTTTAATTTTATTGGTATTTTTATTTACCTATAAGTACCTTATTTTAAAATAATTATTATATAAGCTAAATAATTATTATATAAGCTAATAATCTAGATTATTAAATATTTAACCTCAACTTTAAGAATGTTGTCATTTTGACCATAGCTATTAAATTTTATTAAATCCTCTTTAAAATATTTTAAAGATTTGCCATATAAATTTGGGTGCCTTTGAATTAGTTTTATAATTAAAGAGTAGTTAAATTCTGTGGGAATAAGTATGTGAGTATTAATTAAAAAAACTACAGCTGTTATATTTAACGACAGGCTTGAAAACACCAAAATTCAAGTACCTACCTGCCATTTTTTAATATATTTTCTAAGAAACATAATTAATATTATATAGCTTGACAACTTTATTTTAACTGAACATGTGCCTATACTTAAGTAAAAAGTACCTTTTCCCAATAATAATAGGTATAATAATTATAATTGAATCGCGATCGGTGATATTAAGACAGTGGCGGCGCCAGGGGTGGGCGCGGTTGGGCGAGTAAGCTCTTACTGACGAGTTATAAGTTTTAACGTCCATGCGCTTCACGAAGTCATCCATCCATAGACACGTGAATTTTCCAATCTTGAAACATCCACTAAATCTATTGTACAAATCACAAAATACCTCGGTAAAAGGCTTACGATATTGTCCAAAACACAGGTATATTTCTATACCCGGAATCCAATTTTGTCCCTACTTTGTCAAAAATTCATCTATAGTTCATACTTCTCATTGAGCGATCCGCACACTAGCACCAACAAAACCGAACTGAAAATACCTCGTTAAAAAGTAAAGCTTGCGATATTGTCCCAAAATACAATATTTCTATACCGGGAATGTAATTTTGTCTCGAGACTTCGAAGTCGTCTATGTTTTATACTATTTCATTGAGCGAACCGAACACCACGAGCAATAAAACCGAACTCCACGGTAAAAGATAAAACTTGAAAACTTCTACGGAAGAAAGGGCGTCCTTAGGGTACGGGAATCTATAAACAGCCCAACAGTTTTCGTATTGTTCATCTTTTACGAGAGAAAGGGAGGAAGGCAATCTATAAACCAGGCTTTATTCAGAAGCATATAAAGAATAATAATCGAAATCGAGTAATAATCCAAGATAAGTTTTTTAGTTTTTACTTGCAACGCGAAACACAAATAACGTGCAATTAAAACGAACGAGATTTGTCTGCCTTCCTTTTCTGAAAAAGTATACTTATTTATAAATATATTTAAAAATGATGTTAAGTTCGTATGCTTTAAATGTATTGTTGACAAACCAACAAGTCCATGGACTTGCAATAATGCTATTTAAAATGTTTTAAAACTACAATTGTAGTTTGCAAAGCCGGGAAAATATATTAAAACGCTTGTGGATTGGTCGCCTCTTGTTAGTCGCAAAAATTTAATAGGGCTATAAAATATTTATAGTAATAATTTATTGTAATATGCACGGTTTACGAAATATTTGCAAAATTTTTAATTTAACAAACTATATTTTTTTACTTATTTGTATAAACAACAAACACTTTAGACAATATTTATAGGAAATGTTAAAAAAAATAATTTTACTTTTTATTGTCCAATATTCGGGGGCCAAATTTGGTTTTATGAATTTCAAATAACCCCCTATCAATTCATAAAAAAAAACAGTGCCTCAGCGCGTAAGGTCATACGACGGTTTGACTGGAGTCCAGTCACTGGATAAAGTCTTCTTCTTCTTCTTCCTTGGTGGCCAAAGGCCTTAATGGTCTCGGTTTCAATGTACCACTTTGACCAGAAGCAAGTTTAACGTCTGTGCGTTTCACGAAGCCATCCACCCATACCCACACGGAACAATTACATCCAATGGATATCCAATGGATATACATAGGATATCCGGGATATCCAATGGATAACCATTGGATATATAAATGTCTGACCCTCCTGGACATAGTGTGGATATCCAATGGATACCCAGTGGATATAGTATTGTATGCAATATGGTTGTCATCTGTATTGGATATGGTGAATCAATGGATATTTACTTTTCAATAAATAACATTGGGTTTTAAAATAAAAGTCTTATTCTTTAATTTAAATATTTATTTTTATGAAAACATAAAATAGAACAGAAAACTACATATAACTAAAGAAGTGAAGTCTCTGGCTTGCCATCACTCCTCCAGCTGTCATTTGCCTTTTTATCAGCCTAATCATTTAGGGCCTATTTCACCTGTCTCCTTATGATCCCCAAAATTTGGCCAATCCATCAGCCCATTTGTTACCCTCGAGCCTATGTATACCTAGCTTGCAAATAAAGGTACGGTATATAAATGCATGCATGTATTCACCTTTAATGTTTTACCTTCAATGCTAACCGAAAGTTTATAAATTGCACTTAAATATACCTATTTAATTTAAAATTGTATTAGTTTTAGACCAATACAATTTAAAATGATAACTATGATTAGAAAATTAATAAAATATTCACTTACCACTAGAGACCTCAAACAAATAACCACAAAACACAATAACTTGGCAATAAACTTTATGACAAACATATAACAAATAGCAATGATGGCGAATGAACCTTTACAATCCGTGGAATGAAGCAAATAAACATGAAAACCCTTTGGAATCCAAAGTTTGGATGTACCTAACAATCATGGCATCATATTTAACGGACGTTACCATAGAAAAAGGACGCTTCTTTATCTTCTGTGTTCGGCAGCAGTGTTGTCAGACGTTTAAATAATTTCAGAAAGCTCATCAAAATGGCGGTTATATTATTAAATCTTTAATACTTAATTAATTAGTATACCTAGTATACCTATTTGACATAAATGTGGTGAATAATTATTTTAAATTTATTTAATTTATTTATTAAAACTTAATAAAGTACGGAAATATATTTCGTTTAGTTATTTTGCTTATAACCGGCAACACTGAAGATTCTCAAATTCAGCGCGTGCGTAGTACTATGAAATACAATAATAAACAAAAGGGACTTTTTTAAGTAATTTTTTATTGTATTGCAGACTGTCATAGTCATATTATTAACAGAAATAATATTATTAATATATAAATATTATTATCTGGGTAAAGTGAACATTTCAAAATTAAAAATTTCGTAGCTCTTGGCAAAAAATCAATTTACCGTAAAGTTGTTTTTTTTACATATGCTAGTTTAAACCATCACAAAATCCCACATGTATACATACAAGTATATATACAAGATATCCATATCAGTTATCCACCGGATATCCAGTGTAAATCGAAACAAAGTTAATTTAACAGCGGATATCACCGCCCGTTGCGCTGCAAGCAGATCCATTCTAGATAGCGACATCTATTGCCCAAGGGCTTTACTAACAGTTTAAACCGCCTGGAATCTACAGTGCGACATCTAGTGTGTGATATCTGTACTAACTTAAATCTCCTTGAATTTTAAAATTGTAAACCGTAAAAATTTTGTTTAAAATACAAATTTGGCTCGAATGAAACTGACTAACAAATATATTTAAATCGGTTAATTTTTATTAAAGACTTTCAGAAATTAATTATTATATTGTGAAACAATAAGTCCTTATAAACATTTTTTTATATTAAAACTATTGTCTAGAAATTTTAAACAAACATATTTAAATATGTTGTATTTTCAGATGTCGAATGGTAAGCTTTATTATAAAATTCACCCATTTTAAAAGAAAACAAAATTTAATACAATATTACTAAGGCTTGAAGTTTTATGCTGGTTTTCTCTTAAGATGTTTGCATTTTATAATGAATTCTATTAAATCCAATAGAAATAGGTACTTATTGGTAAGTTTCATACTAATCAGATTTGTATTTCAAACAAACTTCTCACAGTTTACAATTACAAAATTTAAGGCAATTTAAAAGTTCACATATTAATCACTAAATGTAGCATTGTGGATTACAGGTGGCGATATACAATAACTGTATTAATTAATAATGAGTTTGAAAAATCCTTGAATTAGGAAAATGTAATAAAACAAACAAATTATGATTTTGGAAATTTTTTAATGAAGTATATAAAAATAACGTTTACAAGTATAAAACAAAGCAAATATAATAATATAAAAATAAAGTTTACAATTAAAAAACAAAGCAAATAAGCATTAAGGTCTAAACCAAAAAAAATTACTAATTTATAAATTATTAATTTGTTTTGGTTTATAGTTAACTCTTTTTTAAACTCTTTTTTAAATTTTTAATAGCCTCCTTCTTCTTCTTGGACTCATTTTTTACCTATTTATAAGGCATTTTTTTTATATTGTATTGGTTATTTCTAAAGTTAACTAACTTACCTCAGGATCCTTAGGAAACGAGTGTAATACTGCCTCGTTACTTGTATTTCTACAATTAACAACAGCACATTTAAACACCATTGTAAAAAAGTCAAACTAACAAAATCGCACAAAAGGAAAACTTGTTTGTCTAGAACAAAGCTGGAACAAAACCTTCGGTCATCTATGAACAAAACAATAATGGGGTTTCTAAAGTTTAAACGACAAATTGTCAAATTGACAAAGTTGCCATCTAAAAAAGCGTGTTATTTAAATTCTGCTGCTTCAGCGCTATAGTCGATCCTATCCGCAACTAATTTTAAGGTCTGAAAAGGAAGGGGGGAGTGAGCATAGCATGATCTTATGGTTACGTCCATTATGAATGAGCACTAAATCCCGGACGGGAAAGGCCAATCAAACCAGAGAAGAAGAAGAAGAGGAACCATATGGTTTAGGATAATAGACTATTATTAATAGTATTATTTCTATGGGTGGCAACACTACCGTCGAAGAAAACGTAACCTCAAAATAAAACATTTGTAAATAAATTTATCATGGAGAACTATAAAAAAGGTAAAAACGTTGAAGAGCCACTAAACAGAAATAATATACCGATTCCTAATTTGCCAAATAATTTCTTATGGATGCAAGTAGGTTAAATAAATTGCAGATATTTGTCTAATAATTTATTAAAATATAACTTTAAGGTCAGAGGAGGAAGTAAAATAAGGAACTTACTAACGCATGCTTTAAATGAGTTCCCTGAAACAAAAAACGTAGTTTGGACAGGATTTGGACCATCTGTAGGGAAAGCCGTTACATGTGCAGAATTAACAAAAAGAGAATACAATAACAGATTGCACCAAATTACAAAACTTAGTCATAGACAGTACCTGTGTAAAATTTGAATGGTTTTGTATTTTTAATAATTTATTTTTTTAGAGTAGATGAATATTGGGACCCTTTATTGCCTGAGTTGGATAAACTGGTAGTAAAAAGAAAATTACCTATGATTCACATTTATTTATCAATAGATCCAATTAATAGTAAAGAGTTAGGGTAAGTAAATGCAACACAATTTGATAATATGTATTTATACCTATCTTGCTTTTGTTAGATACCAAGCACCTGGAGTTTTTTTACCTTATAAATCTCATGATCCAAAAGCAAAAAAAAAGTTTAACAATAATAGAAGTAAGACAAACAAGAAGACTAATAATAAAAACCTGAGAAAAAATGAAAATAGTGGACAATCAACTTCAAAGGACAATACAGATGTTAAAATGGAGTTATAAAAACTTAATAAATTGTTTTTTTTTTGTAATTTGTATTTTTTATAGCTACCTATAAAACATTAATTGACCTTTTTTGCAAGAGTTTATTGCGCTAAATTGCTAATAGTATTTTTTGTTTAGTTATAAAAAAAATTAAGTTTCTGAAGAAAAAAGCAATTATTTAATAGTGTATTATAATAATAATTATTAATTATAATTACAATCTAAACTAATAATTAAACCTGTGAATTGTAGGAAAATGTATAAATTTTTACAGGTGTGCCGGTTTAGAAATTGCGTAAAGTGACAAAATTTAATAGCATCTATACCTGTAACACTTTAAGGAATATATGTACCTAGGTCATATTCCGTAATAGGAGTAAACAATGCATATTTTGACCGTTTTTGGGGAATATTTATGGATTTTGTATACCCTAGGGTATAGCTGCTTAAAATACCTCATAAAAATAATGTATTGGGCGCTAACGGCGTCCATGGTTTTTCCGGATACGGCCCGATAGAAAATTTATAGGAAATTACCTATAGACACACCATAAATTTTACATTTACCCTATTGAGACAGATAGCAAATAACTCAAGGAAGGATAGGATATAGGAATATCCCTATAGAGCAACTTTAAAACATTTGACAACATTTTCTTAAAACCTATGGGAGAAAAACTAATTTCTACCTTTATGTGTATTTTCCCTATTGAGACAGATAGCAAATATGGGGATATTTTAATGGTTTTGAGTGCATACTTTTTACAGCCTTACTAATCATTTATTTTGTATGTAAGTGCCAAAAACATAGTATACATGTATATCAAATCATTTATTAAAAAAAATTACGACACATTTTATTAACTTATCCCTAAACATACAAATTTAACCCTCAAAACTGGGAGGAGGTGGAGGTGGACCTCTTGGGGGAAACGGTGGTCTACCGACAAAATTCGGTGGTGGAGGGCGCCAGTTGGGCGGCGGTGGCCTTCCTCCAGGTGGAGGAGGAGGTGGAAACATTCCTGGGAATGGAGGAACAGGTCCTGCTCCACTGGGGGGACCTGGGGGTGGAGGTGGAATTCCACCCGCTTGCCATGGAGGCTGTAGGGCGCGAGTTGAGGTGGGAGGCATAGGAGGGAGAGGGGGACGGCCTGAAGGGGGAATGCCTGCTCCTGCCATTGGCGGTAATGGAGGTGCACCTGGAGGGAGTGGGGGTTGAGATGGTGGGAGGGGAGGTGGGGGTATTCCAGAGGGAAACGCTGCTGGAGGGGGAACAGGAGGTGGTGGTGGAGGTTGCATATTTGTAGGGGTTGGAGGTGGGGGCGGCATTATCAATACTGGGGGTGGTGGTGGTGCCATTGACATTCCAGGAGGCATCATACCTAAAGAAAAATTATAATTACCATATAAAATAAAAGCAAAATATAATTTTTACCCATTGGTGGAGCATCAGCAAACAGTTGATGAGGTCTATCAGCTTGAGATAATGGGTTCTGGGCAGCCAATAATCTCTCGGCAGCAGAACCATGCCGTTCTCCTTTAGAATCTTTTTTGAATGCATATGATACAGAAATTGGTCGGTTACACAGATATTGCCCATTCATAGCTTCTATAGATGCATCAGAGGCTTCAAAACTTGCAAAATTAATAAAAGCAAAACCTTTGGAGTTGCCCGTTTCAGGATCCCTCATTATCTAAGGTATTATAAACATTAATTTATTTTAATTGATTAAATTAAATAGAAGCTTACCTTTGGAGTTTGTAATATGACTCCAAACGCGGAAAAAGTATCATACAATAACTTTTCATCCACTTCTGCATCCAAATTTCCTATAAATATGTTTGCTCCCACATCCAGATTCTTTTGATGGGCTGATGCTTTATTAACCCTTATCGGTTTTCCATACAGCTTTATCATGTTCATAATTTTTATAGCATAATCTGCATCTTCTTCTCCCATAAATTCTACAAACCCGTAACCCTGGTGCATCATTGTAACTCTGTCTTTAGGCATGTGAACATTCACTAAAAAAATTAATATTAGGTAGGTATTTACCAAGATTTTTTATTATCAACCTACCTAAGGGTCCGGCTTGCACAAAAAGCTCCCATAATAATGATTCGGAAACTTTGTCATCTAAACCCCCAACGTAAATTGTAGCGTCTGAAAGTAATCGGTTAGTTATTAACTTATGTATTTTGATAAATTTGAATTACCTCGATTCCGTTCTGCAATTGGACCATTCGCCATTGTGAAAATTATTTTTATAGCTTATTCTATAGGATACAATACAATACAATAGGTACAATTAATTCGGTGCATAGAAATCATAGAATCATGGCCTATGATAGAAATAATTCAGTACATCTGTAAACGAAAACTACGAGGTTATGTTAACACAATGTTGCCAAACTACAAATTTAAAAGATTTCAATATGCAATGTTGCCAACACAACAGACAAACATTGGCCAACACATAATAAAATCCCGGCGCATTCGCCAAAATTGCATTTTAACTTTTAAAATATGGTTTTATGTTTAATGCAACAAAGTGACTAGAAGACTTCTAGTAGAAGTACACCGGGAGTACCGCCATTAAACGTACACCGGGTGTAAATGTTGGGAAAATGGTAAAAACTCTTGGTTTCCTGGCCTTTACAGATAAAAAAAAAGCTAACTTGAGTTTTGTGGACTTTATGGTACTTGATTTATAAGACATACTTTCATTTTCAAAAACTTTATATTAAGGCCAAAATTTCAAAAAATGCTTTGTAAAGGGTGATTTTTTAAGTGTGTCCGAACTTCTGACAAGTGTTGCTGTCAAACAAACTTTTAATTTTCATGCATCTAGAAACTAAGTTACTCAGTATAGTCTGACAAATCATCATGGAACGTTTAACGCTTACAAATTGTCGAAATTTACCATCAAAACCATTGTTTTGTGCGCCAAACTTATCGTGCTCTTCGTGAATTTTATGGTATACATACGCCCAATCGAGCGATGTATTCGCCGAATCATCAACAAATTTCAAAAGAACTTTACCCTGTTAGATATTAAAATAAAGACAAGAACAAAAACAGTGCGTTTACAAGAAAATATCATGGCTGTTGTCGACAGTGATGAGAAACACCCAAATGTGTCAATTCGTCGACGTTCGCAGAAAGATGGGCTTTGTTATTGAACTACGTGGGAAATTTTGTGGAAATATCTTTATTTTCTTTGGGGAAATGTTAAATCTTTGGTATATGTAAATAAACCAGCAACTATTCAAGACTTGGAAGCTAAAATAACTCGGACAATTGCGTAAATAAGAACTAAATTGCTTGATAAAGTGGTCGGAAATTGGATTAATATAATTCGCTTTGTTACAAGTAGCCGCGGAGGACATTTGTCCGAAATTATTTTTAAACAATAATGTCATTGAATGTTATTTCATATAAAATAAATATTTTTAAGATATTTAATTTGGTTGTTATTTAATTTGAATTTAAAGTTCGGACACTCTAAAAAAATCACCCTTTATATAGCCGGTTTTGCTCAAAAACCTACGAATAAAATGTGAAAAAACCTTTATTATTCAAAAATATTAACAAAATAAATTTAGTGAAAACATGAAAAAACAGAACAAATTTTAGTAGTAGTATCGACATATCCAAGCCACATGCTTATCATCATTATTATTTGTTGGATATAGCCGGGTTTGCTATAACCCAAAGATGCGAAATCAAAAAAAAAAAAAACAAAAACTGAATAAAATGGATTTAGCCGGTTTTGCACGGATGCTCCTCATAACTACCAAACACATACTTACTAAAAATATTATGACAATTTTATTCCTTTTATTTTGATACTTATATTAACAAAAAAAATTAAGTCGCTTATATTAAAGCGGCAAAAGGCGGTTTAAAGCGGCCGAAAAAAATGGGGGCAACCTTTATCCTATGTATGTTTAATTATTTGTTTATTTGCAAGAAAGTTAATCGTTACTGATTGACTCTTTGATTTTGCGACCCAGAAACGGCCCTGCAAAGCAATAAACAAAAATAATATTAAATTAGGTTTTATTTAAGTTTCAGTAAGTATATAAAAAAAATTTGAGACGTCTCCGAAAGAGATACCATAAGAGTTTTAAAACAAAAATTCAAAAAATCTGGCAAAAGATTGCTCTTGGCTAGGCCTTCGGAATGACCATAAATTGTAAATTTTAGGGGATTTTTTATTAAATATTTTTTTAAGCTGCTGTTATTTGCACTTCAGCCGAAAAAGAGTTTTAAAAATATTGTATCCGAATGGTTCCGGCAGGCAAAGCAGAGATAGGTACTTAAGGGAAACAAAAAATCCATAAAAAGAAGGTATATTTAATATTCATGAGATTGCTCTATCTTTATCCACCATATAATTTTTAACTATAGATCTTAATTTTTCTAGGACTCGAACATATTTTTGTTGTTAAAGTATTATGATATATATATTAATATTATAATATTATAGTGGATACAAATTGCTGAGGACTACAGTTATTAGTGGCTGCTTTTTTCGCTATGAAAACTATTCATTTTTGACTAATTAATTTTTAGAGAATGAATAACCTTTATAAAACCCTACGGCAATATCAGTATGTTAAAATGTTAAGTGTTAAAAGTTTTAATTTGTGGACAAAAACTGTCAGAAAATATATTGGTCAACCATGTTAAGCTTAGCTTCATGTAGATGAATTGCTTATTTTATTCCAATAACAGCAGTTTTTTTATGTTTCATAAATCAGCTTAGAAAATGCATAAACTAAATGGCTTAATAACTCAAAAAATACCTGTCGAAAAAACTTTTTCATTTTAATTTTTATATAAACATAATTTTTTTTATTTCTTTGTGGTAGAATTTTTAATTTTAATCCTAATCTTAAAAATAAATATATTAATTTTTCCTTTTAAAGTCTAGAATAAATATAAACAATTTCCTAAAATAAAATAAATATTACAACAAAAAAACACTTCAAAATGTTTATCTGTGATTATTATTCTTCGTTTATTATACGTATCTGTCCTGTCTATATAAGAGAGATTAAATGTTAATAATTTTAGTATTACAAAGATTTTTTACCAAAATACTAATCTAAGATCTTTTACAATGATTTCAACAAATCTAATTTTTGAAATTTTATTAATTGGGTGCGTTTTAGCTGGCCCTAGTCCTGTAAAGGACGACAAAAAAGATGGACCTGTAATTGTAAGTTTACATTTTAAACAATTTTATAATTTTAAAGAAAATTTAGTTTAAACGGTGATTTTCTTCCAAAAATGAAAAGATATAAAAAAATCAAAAATTTAACTGGTTTACAAAATAAATCTATTTAACAATAATAAAAAGCATCAGCAAATTTAAGACAAAAAATAATTAAACACTGTTATATTATTAGATCTTTAAATTTTAGTTTTAAAAATGTACAATAAAGATAGGTTTTAATATTTTAACCTTTTTTATGAATTATGAAAATCATAGTAGCCATTGATCAATATAATACGTATTACATATGTACATATGCCGGTGGATGGTTTGTGGATTGGTTTAATGTTTAAATAATCCCTTATTTTTCGTTAGAAACACAGAATTAAAGCTATACCTTTATTATAGGGAACTGATATATTGTTGTTTGTTTTATAAGGAGTTTTAAGAAAATAAACTAGAAACGTAAACCTTTAGACATACCTACTTAATGAATACAGATTTTAAAAGGGTTCTAATGCTATTGCATATTATTGACATTACTTGAGTTGTTTTCCGTATATAATGGTAACCAATATAACCGCCTTGCCTAACGGGAATAATTAACTCATTCACGATGTTAGGCATCAGTGCATTTAAAAACAGCCAATCATGATTCGTTTTTAATCTTAACTGTGATTTGGACCACTCGGGTTTTAAATTGGAAAAACTGGGGACTTCCTACCCCTAAGCAGCAGAAGCGAACCAGTTGGCTTCTGGGACTTCTTAGGAAGTAAAGGTGGAAGTAAAGGTGGTCTATACTTTTTGTACAATGCGCAATATTCACTCGGATGAGTTACTCCCCTAACGGCTAAAGACACAAACCTCATCCTCGTGAATGATAGCTTGCATTATCTCTCATATAATAATATACTATTTTTAAGTTGTTGTATGTATAGGGTGATTTAACTTAAAGTTTATTTAGCTATTTATGGCTGTTTTATAATACTTGATAGGAACAAAATTTTTACGAATTTTATCCATAAGGATTTTTTTACTTTTGACTTATGAAGCAACCTATACAATTTTAATTACACATGTCACCATGAATTTTGCATCTGAGACAATAGTACCCTATAGGGTATGCAATTATTATTTGTTTGTCAACAATGAACTCAAAATGAATTTATTTCGCATATTATTTTTAGTACTTCACAATTTCTATATTTGTACATATACAGGGTATACGGTTAAGACAATAAACCAATATTTTATTGGTAAAATATACTTACAAGAAAAAATAATTCGTATTATTTTTATTATAGATTCAAGCAACCAACAACACTCAAGTTCCTAGAATTTTGTATACTGTTGATGCTGTAGAATCTTTGCGGCAGGCCTTTTCCGTTTATGCAGATGAATCTTCAATAGCCAGCGCTTATTTGGAAATTTTTACTGTAAAACACCCTGGAAATTGGAGTGTGGTTGTGGGCTATACCACAATAATATCAAAATCAAACATTTACATTGAAACTCAGGTAAATGGTGGTGCAACTTTAACATCTGACAAAGATAAAAAAGCCACAGCTGTGTTATACAGGATTTTTAACTAGAGATAAGAAGTTGATTTTAAAAAATTGTAATTAATTTAAAATAAATACAGTACCTATTATATCTAAGTATCAATCAATTGTTTTATTTATTTTATCAAAAGTTCAATGGTCAGCTGAGATAAAGTAAGAACTACTTATTAAAGTAAAACTTGAATTAATCCATGCTGAAAGAAAACAATTCATAACCATTAATGAATGAGCTTATGGTTTTGAATCGGATAATTACTGTAAAGGCAAATTGACATTGAAATTTGAAATGGATTGAATTCATAAATTCAATGAGCAAGTTTACTATAGTATACTCGTTCAATAGTATTTAATGGTGACCATTGATGTTTAATGATTTTAAGTCCCACCACATGACCAGGGAATGCAATCTTGCAGCAAAATGTGCAATCTTGGTATTGCAAGATTTAAGAGGTTTAATCTCGCAAGATCTCGGTATTTTGCGAGATCTCGCAGATTTAACCACACAGAAAAAACGCTAGCATAGCATGAATGGGTGAGCCATTAAACCAATGGGATTTTGTAATCCGTATTCCTAAATAACAGTTCCTATAATACCCATAGGTAGTTAGCACTTGGTTTATAATCATTTACTGTTTTTAAATTAGCAACAAAAGTTATCGCTTCTAAATCTTTTGATATTCATATTGATATTTATTTGTTAGAATGGTAGAATGTTATTGCATTAAATACTAATTTGATTTATTTAATAACTTTACTATTGTATGTATACTATGTATACATTTAACGCAATAAATTCTTTGACATTTAGGCAAAATATTTCCCTATTTTGGTTTAAATAACAATTTAGATTGCTTCAATTTTAATGCATTCAATGACAGCGCTGTTCTTGGTACTATGTTAGATTTTTTTCTGTGCAGTAACTGGTGAGGTGGGGTTTCCCAAACCCCACCGATTCTAAGAATCTTTACCACGTATTAAATAATGGTGCGAGGCTCGCTATCCCCTGTGTAGCTTCCGGCCAGTTGACCGTCAGTACTCTACCGGTGTCCTTTGTATGTTTTTTAACGAATTTTAGAAACGTGTTTCGATATTTTTAATTTTTTTATTCTATATTTTTAGTTTAATTGGGTTGTTTTCAAAAAACACCCGCCTTCCGCTGTCCGTAAGTTTGAGTTCCAATAACTTTGTTAACAATTATCGGATCTTATTGATTTAAAAACAAAGTCTTCAGAATAATTTTTTTTTAATTTTGAAACTTGTGAAACACACATTTTTGCATGTCCCATTAGCGTTTTATAAAACTTACATACATGTTTTTTTAATATTGAATAACCAGAACTTTGTGTTGTTTTATTGCAATCCATAACATCCTTATAAGGATAGAACTATAGTTAATACAGTAAACAATTTATATATAAATTAATTAATTTTAATATACTTTTTTTAAATTTGACTCATGTCCCAGACATTTTTTCCGTTGCGTTACGTCCGTCGCGTTACCGATAGAATATTAAAAAAAAACATATATATGGCAACTTTTTTGGCACTCACGTGATCAACAAATGATGTTCGGACGTACACATTACCCAGCTGAATTTATTTATTTAATCAGAAAGAAGATATAGTTTGAAACAGGTGCGGATAACGCGAATGTAATAATTGTTTGTCCGCTAAGTTACTCAAAAAAATATTAATAATAAGGTAAGCAAAAATACTATTTTTCATGTTTATGTTTATTTTAGGGCACTAAAGCTCATTAAGAGTAATTAATGATTGTAATGTCTTATTATTATTTTTTAAATATGGTTTCACAAAACTTTTTCCACTGCGTTACCATTATGTTACCTTATGGTAACGCAATGGAATTTAGGGTAACGCAATAGAATTTTTCGACAACAAAGTGGATATTTACCGTCGCTTTTATTAAAAGACCTTCACCAGCTTATAGTCAAAGAAAAAGGGTGTCTACAATTTAGAAATCTAAGTTGTTATTGTGCAAGTGAGCACCACTACAAGGGATTTTGTTTATGCATTACTCTAAAATCGTACCACCCTATATAATTTCTCTTTTACGTTATGTCTATTTCGTTACTTTTTTTAGTTTTTTTTTAAATGATTTTTATACACACTTGGTAATTCGTGTTTATAAATTAGAGTTTAACTCACTTAAGTGAGTTAAACTCTAATTTATAAACACGAATTACCAAGTGTGTATAAAAATCATTTAAAAAAAAACTAAAAAAAGTAACGAAATAGACATAACGTAAAAGAGAAATTATATAGGGTGGTACGATTTTAGAGTAATGCATAAACAAAATCCCTTGTAGTGGTGCTCACTTGCACAATAACAACTTAGATTTCTAAATTGTAGACACCCTTTTTCTTCTTCTATAATTATACAGTGACTAAAAGAAAATATTAATGGTTTTTTTTAACAAAGAGTCGGAATGGTTTCTTTTAAAAAGTAACTTAACGAACATAAGTGTCATTCTCACGAAAATGTTCAATTTACTGTCCCTTATTATTAATTTACATACTTACGGCAAAATATATATTTTTTGTAGTAAAATTAAATAATGCCTTAACGCTAGTCCACATGCATTTTGACAAATATTATTAAAATCTTATAAAAATTTTAGTTAACAGTACGTGAGATCTCACGTTTTTTAGTTGTCCCCCGCCAGAGTCACTAAATTTCAATTTCAATTTTCTTATTTATAAAATTAAAGTCTTAACCACAAAAATAATAAACAGCACCAAAATACCACAAGTTTTTCATCCTATTAAAAAATATAAGTAAATGTTTTTTATATCCCCACAGATTGTTTTATAAGTGTCCCTGGATGACTTTCTCACCTCCGTTAATATAGACATAAATTGTAATAAAATATCATAGATGGCTAACCTAAAAAAATAGTTATTTTTAGTTTGATTCTTGGTGCTTGACATTTTATTTTTAGTTTGTTTGGAACATTTTCGGGAATATCAAGTATTAAGTTTTCTAACGTGGAGCATAATTCTCACTGCTGTTAGTAGTTATCAAAAGGTAAGCAATTAGATATTAATAAATATAATTACATATTTAAATAATATGAATAGGCAAGGGTTTATATTGTCTGGGACCGGGGTCTTTATAACCAGTAGACAGGTCAATAGCAGGAAATTTGAATAAAAATCTCACACCCGTTAATCTCACTGCTGTTAAAAGCTTTTATAACGAAGGTGAGACATGTTTACGTAAGTGAGGTTTTATAGTACCTATTCTGGTATATTTGTATAATGGGGAGTTCGTTAACGTTTTCTCTTAAATTAATCTGAAATTTTCAGTTCCTAACACCTGACAAATAATCAGCAGTCAACAAAGTCCTGATGAGGTCTTCATTATTGAGATGTATAAGTACTCTGACGGTTTACCTATATCTTCATGGGTTAGCAATCAGTGACAAGGAAAACCGTTCAATGATTTTGTGGTAGTTAAACTGTGCAGTAAAATAGTATATTAAAGAACTAATTTTCTTAATTCACTCCTCCGTTAATATCAAATTTAAGTTTTTACAGATATTTTCTTAGATTTTTTTTTCAAGCTTAGAGTGATACATATATGCAATAATATACATATCTAATTATTTAGGTAAAATCTAAAAAATTTTTTTTTTTAAAATTGATACCGGGAAAATCCACAAGTTCATGATAATGACCCATAAATATTTAAAGAAAGCATACAATTTTTAATAAAAAATAAAATAAAAAATTGGAGTCAAAAGTTTGTGAACTAAGTACATTAAATTTTTATTTCAAATTATTTTTTTTGACAACTTTTTTTTATTTAATAAAATTTTGGATTTCAAATTGGTAACACAGTGGGGATATACATATTAAGCTAGCTAAACACATTTTTCTGAGAAAAACGTACAAAAAAATTAAAAAAGTGCACTGCCTGTCTTAAATGTAAGTAAACAAAACTCTAAACATTTATAAAAACCAACCAAAAGTCAATTTAAGCAACAAAAAAATTTGATCTTCATTTTCCTGAAAGCGGGTGTTTTTTGAAAATGACCCAATTACTTACTGCAATTAAAAATAAGTTTTGAAGTACGTTTTGTGGAGCCCCACAATAAAATTTAATTACTCCTATAATTTTTGTTTTTTTTGTAGGTATGAAGTTCATACTATAAACGCATTATAATCAATAAAGGATACCCAAAAGTGAATAAAATATTATTTATTTTATTTTGATTTCGCAGAATCGCCGTTTTCATTTGAGGTTTGTCAAACCCCACCTCACCAGTTATGTAACAAAAAAGTAACCTCACCAGTTACGGCTTAAGATTGATAAAAAAAGAAATTAGTATAGTTACAGTTATAGAAATATTAGTAATTTGGATTCCAACTTTGTTAGGTTATATCGTAAGGGCAAAATAATTAACTAAAACATAAATTAAATATTTTATTTAAGAATAATCATCAAGCTATTGAACCAAATAACATAAACATGACTAAAATTATTTATTGAAAAAACTACATTATTTTGAAAATAACTTCTCAAATAACACAAAACACACATGGAATGCGCTGCGTCCTTATCTCGCAATGATTTTTCATGCAAGACTAATCTTGCAGAATTAGTGCGAGATCTTGGTATTTCGAGATCTTGGTATACCGAGATTGCATTCCCTACACATGACTGATATAATAATAAATAATTAAGGTAATTGTTCTGGCAGTGTCAAGCTTTATGTACATTTTATAAACAAACTACGTATCTTTCTTTCTTTCTTTCTTTCTTTAGGTTTAAAAGTTATTTGGCCAGAACATTTTTAAAATTTTCTTTACCTAATATGACCAAGGGTCTCATTTAAGAGATTCTGAAATTAACTCAGCCCTAGAATCATTTCTTACTTATTTATATATTTTTATAGAACCATTTCATCTTTTCACTTCACTATGAACACATGGCTTAAGCGATGAATTCATGCACATAATTTTTTAAAGTATCTTTAATCTTCAATCATCGGATCCATCTCTTGATTATTTCCATATAATTTTATAAATTCTTAAATAAAACCAGTGTGTTTCTATCCTGGAAATCCAATTTTGCCTCTC